GGTTCTTGAGTATGCTGGTTTTCAAATTGTTGGGTTTATTAAGTGTAGTAAAGTGTGTTTAATCAAACTGAACATTTTTGATTTCTTGACGCCCTATATCTTGAAAACGGAAGCCCGGAGAAAAATTTTGAAGAGGAAAGAAATGTTTCTTTTATTATGAGTTATCTACAGTTCTTGTGTGACACTTATTTGTTAACACCCTGTATATGTGTTGCGATTTTGCGAACAATCTCTTTATACTAGTTTCCATGACATTAATAAACAATGTCTGTACTCGTGTCTGTAGGTTAGTAGAGGAGGTGGCCCATTCATTCTGCTCGACAATTCATGATTTTCTCTCCTATTATTTTTGATAAAACACGTAGGACAGATAAGAAGATTTGCCCCAGAGTTTCACTGCTTTTGAAGTTTCTCTATCGGAGATCCTGAAAAAAGGATCCCATCGTTTTTCTGTGGCACTTTGTTCCGAGAAATGTTTGAAGCAATGGAATATAGATAGGTATATTGGGAACATATCTCATCTTTGGACGTTCAATGAACGAATCGACTCCCGTTTTCAAGATCAAAATGCTAAAATATAAGTCTCTGAATATCGTATTCGTATAGCGTGACACTTCTCAATAACGAACTGATGATGTTGATGGCTCATAAATAAGTAACGGAGACAATAAATAGCATTGCTACCTGTTCAGTTGAAAGAAATAGAACATCGTATTCTATACTGAAAACTGAACATGAAAATGGTGATTTCATGATGTTCTATACTACACAGTGAAAAACAAATAACACCCTTGAGTGTCCCTCAGAGGTCCTGAATATTTCAGTGAGATATAATACTGATTTTTTAAACACCATCATAGGGTGTCATTGGTTCTTACATACAGTCAAGAACTACTCTAGAGTACATACATATATTGCTAATTTGATCGGTTTGTGTTATTCAACACAACACACAACAGCAGAAATTCCGAATGTTGAAGAATCTAGATTTTCTGCACCTGTATTCTCTGTGATAATTTCTCTCAAGACTGAATTCTGATATAGATCGTTGGAATCAGCCCATTAAGAGGAATCTGAAAATGCAATGGAGTACAAGGTGTGCTATAAGAAAAAGTATAATTTTAAAACGACACGCATCTTTCAGTTACCTTTTATAACGCGTAATATTTCAGAAATGTACTGCTCATGAAACTATATACCATCTCAAGAATTTTCGTTTATCTATCTCGAACAGCAAAGCCGTTATCTCACTCTGCCACACTATTGGTTCATGTTTTATGTCTACCGAGCTTTCCATCTCAAAATTGTGAATTCTTCAAGCTGTTGAAATCCTGCTACGAAAAACTGACCCACTCTGTATATTTCATATTTTAGTTATCATATTCAGTTAACAACAAAAATCCAACCGTCAGATTGAGGTATTTCCTTCACATAATCGTCATGACTAGGATTTCAAACTGAAGCGTCTGCTTAATGATCTGATGCGCTAGAGTATTTCAAGGTCACGATTTCTTTTTTCATTTTTGAATATTGATCATAACTTTTGGTCGCGTCCAAATCGTCTATCGTTTGAATTGGAGCTACTTGAGGGTTTAGTTAACGTCCCTTCTCAATATCTGACGAGCTCGAATACATTTTTTTTACCCATTCTCTATCCCTTCGTTTGGCCACCCGCACCATGCAAACCGATAGATTAATACGTTTTCTGTCGACTTTGTATTAACGACTAAGTTTGATGTATGTGAAATCGTTCATTAATAACCCCTTTTAATGAATGATTTGTCTATTAATGCACGATTGTTTTTTAGGCAACCAAACATACACCCCGTGCATTCATTGTTTATGCTATAACTTACGGAATCTGCATTTAAATCGAAAATATGGATTTCATCGACGATTTTCCGTTAACGGGTTCACCTTTCCAAGTTTATGACACGATTTTAATCAATGTTTTCTAACACAAGGAATTCATTTTCTATGTTGATCATTTCGACGAATGTCAAATGTTACTAAAGTCAGTAACAAGGCTACTGGGTGATTATTAGCAGTTTCCGGATGAATAATGAATTCGCGAACCAAGTTTTCTTCTTTGCAGAAGAAATGAGAAATATAGTCGACGGAAAAATTTTGTAACCAACATATCTTGATCATTAATCGCCCTCATTAATACACTAGTTGGTTGAATAACTATTTGGTTATCATAAACACGTGGGACGGCGCATACACTATTAATATCTGATGCGCCCGAGTATTTCTATATGTGACTGTTTTTTTTCTGAATTTTGGATCACCTGTACATGCTCTTTCCACCAGTGGACGGTCATGTATCATGAAAACTTTTTTTTCATTTTCGCATCTTATCTTCACAATCTGATAGGTCCTTTTTGCTTCCCCTACGTGACAGTCACCCGGCAATGGTTTTCCAAAGAAGTCAATGATGTCTAATCCGATTTCCATTTACTTTGCGATGAGAGGGATTTCACAATTTTTCCAGTCCGTTTTCAATTGACAGTTACCAAGAATCATGTTCAGGAATATTATTCGTATGCATAGACAAATTTTCGGAGCGAAACGCAATCTGTCGGATTGTTTTCTTCAAAGCAGTATTCAAAATTTGTTTGATCATCGAACGCCAGATTTTTGTATCATGCACGTTCGGGAATAATTCATATATTTTTTCCAGCCACAAAGCTATAAGTCGGTGATTTCGACGCTATATATCTTCGAATATAAGGATGGTATTTGGTGTTGAATAGAAACCCAGGTAGAACATCATATTGGCTAGAACTTGGTTTCATATTAGCCCAATATTCGAATATTGAATATGGAATTACTAGATTGCACCAATATCAAACCAATTTTTCATTTCAATATTCGATCATCAATCCATTGCCAATATTTTAATAACATTGACATTTTGTGACCAGCCGATATCAATTTGTCAATATTTATTTGATATTGGAGGAATATTAACGATCACAATATGTCAATTCTCATGATGGGCTGATATTGCATTTCCAATATCAAATCGATCTTGGAAAAAAATATTGACTCAATATCCAATTTATGATGGTTAATGAATATTGCATTTCATTGTCCAGCAATGTTGTAATAACATTGAAATTTTGTTTCCAGCCGATATTTATTTACCATTATCTATTCGATATTGGTGAAATATTGACGATCACAATGTCAATTTCCATGATTGGGCTAATATTGTATTTCCAATATTGAATCAATCATGGAAAAAAATATTGCATCAATATCAGATTTATGATGGTTGGTGAATATTGCTCTTCGTTGTCCAGCAATATTGCACTGATTTTGGTGATTCAATATCATTTCGATATTCAATAATCAATCCAGTGCCAATGTTGTAATAACATTGAAATTTTGTGACCAGCCGATATTAGTTTGCCAATATTTATTCGATATTGGCGAAATATTAACGAATACAATATGTCAATTTTCATGATGGGCTAATATTGTATTCCCAATATCGAATCAATCTTGGAAAACATATTGTATCAATATTTTGTATTTTTATTCAGCCAATATTAGTTCATCAATATAAGACCCATTTCAGATAGATATAACTAATGAAATATGCCAGAACCAATATTGCACTGACATTGGATTTCTAATATCGAATCGATATTCGTGATATTTCTCTTAGTATTTGAGCTACGTTATAACAGCTGGCACCACTAGCACGCCTCCAACAAACGACTGCTGAGAGACATCAAATACCGCATTCGTTCAACTTGCAAACTAAGTATTCTGGGATACAGGAAACGAAAATGGATTTGATATTGTACAAATATCGCAATTTTTTAATGAGGCTAATATGGCTTCGAATTTTGATTTCGAGTTTTGTTGAAAAACGAAATTCAATATTGGTTGAATATTATAATTCAACATGAAGATAATATTGCAAAATAATCACATCCTCATTTTAGCCAATATAGTAGGGGAATATGAATTCAATATCGATTTCACATATGAAAATTATAAGAAACCAGTTTTCTATAAGTTGGCATCATATATTTGTCCAATCTTGTATACGAATATTAACTCGATATTGGATAGAGCATATCGAAATAAGATTGAAATTCAACATAGCACCAACATTCCAGAATGTTCACATTGATTTATTGACCCAATAATTAAAATTAATATTTTCCCAACATTCACCATTTATTGACTCAATATTGAACCAATATTAGTGTTCTACCTGGGAAACACCTCCTTTGTTGAGAAGTCCCATGAAAATTCACAAATTCATATCATAGTTGCATTCGAACCCACACATGGTTGTCAGAAAATATATCGAAAATGATTGCATCATGAGATTTCAGTCAAATGACAACCTCAGTTTTCGAACAACAATATTCCGAAACAATGTGAAATGTATATAGAGTACGTAGAGATTCTCGGGTACGTGATTTGCAGTTTAATAATTGTCGGGCAGCATTTGTTCACTGTCAAAAATCAATCTAAATTAGAAAAGAGCAGTCAGTTTGAAAACAAGCAATCTCTCTTTTTCGTTTTTATTCAGGTTTAGATATTCTCCATCAGTACCTCATTCGACCCAATAAGAGGACTTCAACTTCCAGAAACGTGCGTTTTTAAAAGCTGGCAACGTCAACGATCCAAGAAAATTTATGTCTGAATGTCAACGTTTCGATTATCGATTTGACGGGAGAATCATGATACATGTCTAACAAATATTTCGAAATATTTTTCTTCCCAATTCCCTTAACAACAAAGAGTATTTTCATTCCGACATCACATCACGAATTCAACCATTTTATTTCAATAGTTGTTATTTTTTGATTCTCTAGAATGTTGATATCCGTATTCATAATCTCGAAAGTGTACCAATATAACTCTGTCATCATGTCAAGATATGTGATGAACATAACTTCACCTAATATCAAGAACTACATTTCAAATAATACGCCAGTGTTATAAATCAATGTTTTCATTTATCATTCCAGATTCGCTTTCCGGAACTGAAACTCTTACTGAGGACCGCAATCATCTCCAAATCACCGTACCCGTGGTCGAGAAAAGCCACCAAGAGACTGGCTGCTCTTGCCTCCACCACATTGTGTCTACTCTTGGCCAGACTTCAAATTATGGGATCCCAACTGCCGGTTTTTACCAGATTTGATAATCCTGCTTCTGTAGCCCCGACGCCTAGCAGACAATTGACCTACCACTATTTAATCAGTGTGAATTTGTGGTTGTTACTGTTTCCCTGTGATTTGTGTTGCGACTGGACAATGGGAACTATTCCTCTGCTCGAGTCGCTTTTGGATGTGCGAAATCTTAGCACACTTGTCGCTTACGGGTTTTTGTTCGCGCTGATACGTCAAGCGTTCACCACTGAGAATAAGCAGCAGGCTACGATTTTGATAATGGTAAGATCATAGATGATAGGCTGCACATAAATTTCCATTGATGTTCAAGAAAATGACATTGAATTTGAAATTATTCATTTCATTCACATCAACAATTCATGGTGACCTGTCGAAAACGTACCATGAGGCATTTCAGGATGGAAAAGAGCTTTTAGACAAAATTCGTTGACACGTCGAGTTTGTTTGTCTGAGAGACAACTCACGATGCAAAAAGCATAAATATCTAAATCTTCAACGCTCTGAATGAAGGTTTTATCCCCAGACTTTTTGAAATGGAAATCGAGGTGAAGTGATACTTCATTCAAAAAAACTTTTAATTCCTCTTTAGCTTTTGATGATCGATCCACTCGTTCTAAAAGTTTTGAGCTTGCAAAAACCAAAAATACGTTTGACGAAAGAATTTAAATCTGATTCAAATCAACTCAAAACCTCACCATACAATTCATATAAAGTCTTCCGCCATTTTTGTTGCTTGGAGATTCTTGATGTCGTGTTTGTGAAAAAAAAACATTCATTGCGTTGGTGTTTCATATTGCTGAATCACTGTCTCGTGACATGTACTTGAAGTGTTTCAACATCAATTGAATCGATTTCTGAAATTTCCGTGGAATATTTTCTTGCTTTCTTCATTCTTCATGATTTCTGAACGGGTAATTTCTTGAAATTGAGCAGCAAAGTATAAGTAATTTGAAACCATTTTCAATGAGGCATCACTCAACCTCAATATCCATTTCCATTTAAAAAACTTTGGGAGATAACACCTCCTCTCAGGGCGTTGAAGGTCTTATTATGATTCATTCTCAATATACATTATCATCTTTATCCATTTGCTGCTGAATTATTGGTGTATATTCTCACATGATCGGAAAAGCACTCAACAACTTGATGAAATTCCGACAGGTTCGAGAGCCAGCTTGGGAAAATAGACATCATTTCTGTCCTTCATCTCAATTCTTCTTAAGAATTTTGCATGTACGTCAAAATGAAAGATAAATATAACGGAATCTTTGCTTTTGCAGAAAGTGTCTATAGAATACAAAATGATTCAATTATTAAGTTATTGAAGTGGGTGAGAGAATTTTCTATGACTATTGAGGTTATTGACAAGCATCAGTGTAATAAGTATATGGATATAACACATCACACATATAAACCTACTTCCCTTGTTCGTTTTGAATACATACGAAAGATTTCTAAGAAACTCAAGTTTCAGCATTTTTCAATAGAAATCACCATATCTCAGTATTCAAACATCAAACTTAACGTTATTACATCAGTATCTCAACAGATAATCAAAAAAGTGCGGATAATGGTGAGATTCATTTTATGACCTGACATAATGGCTAACTGGGGTTATATACATAATAATTGAGGTTGAATGAATCAATCTGACAGAAACTACACCAAGAAAATTTGCATGTTCTTCCAACAACACTGAAATAATCAGTTTCCATTATCAAATTTTTTAGTTGAACTGTCATTAAGAAAAGAAGAGAATAGATGGGGTTTCATTCCTATATAATATATGGCTTCAGATTATGGAAATATCGTAATATGCAAAAAATGAGACAATGATAGCGTTGTTACTGGCGCCTCAAATCATGATGAAGTTTTACCAACTGTCCCAATGGAACAATCTTCCTAAGAAAAAAGTGGAAGATATCTCATTATCACAACCTCAAATAATCAATAAACAGGGTGTTCCAAAATTGCTGGGACACACAGATCTACTACGTGTAGAGGAGACCAAAATGAGTTGATTGGACCCAATTCATTTATGTGCCGGGATGTACCGTTTGTCCGTAAGAAGGGTTCAAAGTTCACATGAGAAAACACATTTTTGAACGCTGTTCGGAAATAAGTGGAACGAATTCGATGAAATTTGGAAAAAGTGTATTCCAGAGATTTACTCCATTTGGTTATCGAAGAAACCTAAAAGAAATTGTAGAAGGTATTATCCACCCTCACCCCCTGACATTTCTCTCAGAACTTTTTCAAGGGTCAAAACACGGTTCTGATATTTTTTGAGTTCGAAAACTAATCAATTACCCTTATTTCATTACTTAAGTGATAATTCATAAGGTATACGGCATATTTTCGAGTAAAAAAAAATTCCTCTCAAATAAGGCTACCAGATATTCCCAGTACAAGTTCAACCAAATCGTGATATGGAACTCAGTTGGCAGTGGAAACGAACGCAAGTCGTGATTATGACAGAAAACAAATTCATTGTTATTCAAATTTGTTGTTGACGTTGTCTAAAAATGTTTCAATAAATCCTTCAATTTCATTATTACCGCGAGTACTATGACCGACCATTAATTATCAGTCAATTGTTGTTGTTATTTTAACTGCTATCAAATATAGATTTTTGTTGAAATGAGCAGACCGATATGATCCTACTTCATGGATTTTGTCAAGGTAACTGTCGCAGAAGTGCCCGCCTTCAAGGATTTTGGCCGAATTTATCAGACGACTTGCACCTTAATGTTCATCGAAACATGTTCTTTATGCACGTGCAGTAGGACAATATCTGAACGAACAATTTCCTGATAGATGGATCGGTAGGGGACAAGAAGCACTTATTCAATGGCCTCCGCGGTCTCCAGATTTGAATCCGTGCGACTCCTCCATCTGGAAAGCGTTCGAGCACAAATGTTCGAAGTTCAAATTGATACTTTCATACAGCTGTGGAAAAGGATCCAGAAAACCGTTGACGCACTACGATACAACGACGATGTCCTGCGGAAGGTGCATTCGAATTGTTTACGTCGAATTGATATTTGAATCAATGAAGGTGGGCGTCAAATTGAACATCTCTCATAAACAAATGTACTGCTTTTGTTTTCACTGTCAATTAAGTTCTATATCACAATTCAATTGAAGTTTTTTTATAGGAATATCTGTTAGCATTATTTGACAGAACATTCTTCTTCTTCGAGTTATAAAATGGAAATTATTGATTAATCTTCAAGCTCAAAAAATTGCAGAATCGTAAAATGAGCCCTGAAGAAGTTCTGAAAAAAATTTGAGGGGATGAGGGTGGTTTCAACCCTTCTACAATTTCTTTTGTGTTCGATAACCAACAGTGAAGTAATATTCTGAAATACACTATCGCCAAATTCCATCGAATTCGTTTCCCTTATTCCTGAACAGCGTACAAAAATGTGTTTTTTTATGTGAACTTTGAACCCTTATCACGGACAAACGGTACATTTTGGCACATGCAATACAATTGAGTTCAATCGACTTATTTTGACTTCCTCTACCCGCGGTAGATCTGTGTCCCAGCAATTTTGGGATACCCTGTATATAATGGCAATGTATGAGGTTGGATTGGGTAGATCAGAATATAAGCCTAGCAGAACTTCAATTAGAGGTGAGAAGTAGTATTTTCCACTCATATCTTAATGCTCATCTATGGCAACACAGGATAGAAGTGTTCATTTGAAAACTTCTCCCCCAATATCTCGTTCAGAAGACTGTTCTCGTAAAATTATCGATAGAGAGGTGAAGAAAAATTGTGAGGGCGACATGTTCGCACGTTAAAATGACCTCGTTCATTTCATTGGCAAAACAATATTCAACATGATACTGATCAGGATATTGAAACGAAGCTATCATACTATTTCCATCGGTCCTCAATAAGTGAACAGAGTTTCAATTGTTTAATTCGACGATTTGAGTTATCTCGCAAAAGCATCGAGAAATGGACACACTGTAATCCAATGAATGTTGATAATCTTGGACCCTCCAGTGCTGCTAAGATGATGAAATCCAGAATAAAAGGGAAAAATACCTCAAGGATCTACCCTTCAGAGCCAGATTTATATTAACCTGTTATTGCGTATGCTGGATACAAAATGAAGATTCTTATTCGAAATGAAACAATAGAAAGGTCAGGTTAGGTTCAGGTTCTCTAGATGAAACCCCCTGTATATCAAAATTTTTTCGAACTTCAAATTGAATTTGACGTTGATTGAGGTTGGTTATATTCTGCTTAATCTGTGTCGATATCGAACCGTTTTCGACAAGAACTGATTCAAACCAAAACTGACGTGGTTTTTTTTGTTTCCACCGACCTTCAACCGCACGCATCAATAAAATATACTTAGTTACACGCAGTGGTCTCACAGACCATAATCATAAAGAGTAGCTATAATTGATAATAATCACTTTTGGGGTAATAATAACACTCAATGGAGTCTTTGTTGACACATTCATCTATGTAAATATTGCATTACAAAACGAAAACATCATTCTCGATATAACTAATAACATTGTCTATCTCATCTTGGTCCTCCTCATCAACGAATTCATCATCTGTTTGAACTTCTCCAAACAAACGTTGAATTCTCTCAACATGTCTCTCATAACTAGCCATAAGTATCATAAGTTTACACATGAATAGTAAAAGAATCACATCGGCAAAATGTCATTTCACCAGCGAAATGGGTGACAAAAAACAATGAGCGGTGCCTGGGACCGCAATATGGTGTAGCTAGCGTATTTACAAAAAAAATGCGTGCACTTGGTCGATCTATCCGACGCTTTTTGACGCTGGAGGCATACCGAAGCTTCAAGCGCGTAGCAGTAGTAGATAATCACTAAATCATGGCCGATATTTACGTTTGTTGGTCTGAGAGACCGCGCTCGTGTTCTCAAAGGCTAATCCTTTTCCAGATTCAACATACCCAGCAAACATGTATCGCGCGGGCCTTTAGACGCCCTCCAAAAACTGCCGACAGTCAACATCAGCGGGCCACAATCATGATACATCGTCGGCCCGGCTAGCCCGTGTCGCACCGGCCGCTAGTAGGCCGCCCGACTATCTACCGACACTATTCGGTTAGAAATAAAAAAAAGATATAGTCGGGAGTCGGACTCGAACTTGCGATCGAACGGATATCCAATCAACTGTCAGACGCTTATACCACTAGGCTACTGCGAAACTTGAAAGATACTATTACGAATCCATCAGTCAACAGAATTGAAATAGT